CCTGCCCCGCGCTGCCCCCACCAGTGCTGCCTGTGGTATTTATTAGAGACCCCCTAACCCCACAGTGCACTCACCCCACCACAGCCCAGCCTCAACCCCACTGGAGCCCTCCTGCCACCAACACCAGAGCCTTTTCCTCTTTCACCAACACTGTCCCACCCACCGTCGGAGGACGGAGCCGTCGGGCAGGGGATCGGAGGACGCCGCTGCATCCGTAGATGACTCCCTGGGAGCCGGCACCAGCGGGACCCACACTTGGCCCAGCCCATGGTGGGCATTGGACCCAGCCCCATGCCAGGCCCTCTCTCTGTGCCTCCATCATCTGCATCACCAGTGGGGAAAGGCCTGGGTCTGTTCCCCTCTGGCTGGCCATGGACATCTCCGCTCCATCCCGTGTCCTTGTCCCCATGTCCCTGGGCTCCCCAAGCCATGAGCCCCTCGGGGACCAAGCGTGTCCAGGCGAGGGAAGGGCATTAAGGGCAGTGTCTCCTCCATGATGCTCAGCTGTGGTCATGGGCAGGGCCACGCACAGCTCCTCCAGGATCACCCCAGCCTGTGCTCAGAGCTGTGGGCAGGGGACCTTGCTCTGCTCCCCCAGGCTCATCTCACTGTGTGGAAGCCCCTCACCCTGGTGCTGGCATTGATGGCCATTCCTCCAACTCGGCTGCTGGCTGGCACTGCTGGGCTCTGCCAGCCCCCGGGGCTGAGCTGTGCTGTGGCCAGTGCCCGTGTCCCCCTGGGGCAATGGCAGCGAGGGGGGCCCAGCCTCGTGGGGACAGGAATGGGGTGGGGGTGCCCACCCCACCCACTTCCTCATAGCAGCAGGAGTGTGGCCCAGCATCCTGTTCCCTTCCTGCCTCTGCAGCTCAGCCGTGGCAGCTTTGCAGAGCCACCTTCTGGGGGTCCAGGCTGCAGCACCAGGTCCTGCAGGGGAGCAGGGCAGCCCAGTTCACCCCAGCACTGGCACTGGGAGCTGTCAGGGGTCCGGTGTCCCACGAAGGGCAGTCTCCCTGCTCCCCCACCCCACGCCCCAGCCCTTCAGTGGGGATTTCACCACCAGCACCAGCGTTTCCTCCCCCCTGAGACCCACTGGGGCAGGCGAGGGAGCGCCCACCGGGGCAGTGCCTGGGCCCTGTGCCCAGGGGCACTTGCCCAGGAGCTTTGGGCAGGGTGCAGCCACCAGCCAGACAGCAGTCCTTGTGTGAGCATGAGAGGGTCCCCGTTGCTGTGAGGCCGGGCAAGTCCCCAGGGATCCCCCAAAGCACGTGTGGAGCAGCCCCCACACTGCCCAGCCCACTGGGACACCAGTGATAGAGCAGCCAGGGATGGGGCTCGGCCACCCAAGGCATTCCTTCCCCCACACTCCCCTTATGTGAGCAGTGACCCCCCCATGACATCCCAGTTGTCACCCCAGTTACCATCCAGGCTGCAGTTTTCCCCCAGTGGAGTTACTGCAGGGCTGGGGACTGCAGGGGTCTTGCAGTGCCACCTGAGCCCTGTCTGGGCACCCACAGCCTCTGGGAGAGGCAGAGCTGAGGGAGGGAGAGGTTTCCCCACCAGGGGAAGGGGGGCCTCTCCTGCCCCTCCTGCTGAGGGCATCCCTGGAGCCCCGTTGCTGCAGGGCGGGGCAGGGGGCTCAGTGCCACAGGGCATCTCCCCCACAATCCTGGGGGGAATGTCATCTCTTGCCACCCCACACCAGGGGCCAGCACCACTCACCCCATCCCACTCTGGGCCCTGCAATCCTCCCGACCCCAGGCTGGGACTCCCTCCCACTCTCAGCACCCTCCGCCTCTCAATTGGCTTTGACCCCCAGCCCAGTCTGGCGCCCGTGGCAGTGGGGAGTGGGACCAGGCCCCGGGCCGGGGCTGGGGCATGAGAGGAGCAGGCAGTGGGCCCAACATCACCCCTGCCCCGTCCCGCAGCCCCCCCTGCTGAAGTGCACTTCTCGCACCCCTGAGCTTTTCACTTGTGCCGAAGCTGTTTGAATCCCACCCCCACTCCCACCCCCGTTGTTTGTAAAACACCTGAACCGAGCAAATAAACTGTGTGAACAACCATCCTGCAGCCACCGACGGGCTGGGCATCCTGGGGATGGGAGGAGGAGGATGGAAGGGTAGGGACAGGGATGCTGGGGATGGGCCCTGCTGCCCCCTTGCTGTATGGGCAGGGGAAGTGGGGAGGAAGAGGGATGTGGGAACAGGGATGCTGGGAGGAAAGGGATGCGGGGTGATGCTCTGGGCCTGCCCAGGTAAAGAGGACGTGGCAGCCCGGTTACCTGGTTGTCCCGAGGGACAGTGGTGGGGTCAGGACCTCCCAGGCCCTGACGAGGCCTGTCTGTGCACATGGCCATGGGTCTCTGCACATCCCCACGCTGGTGTGATTGCTGCTGCCCAAGGCTTGGATTCCAGGGCTCTTTCCTGGAGCAGCTGGGCCCTGACCCTGCCCGGTGCCAGCCCAGGTGCCAGCACACGCCCTGCGGCAGGCGGGGAGCGCTCCTGGCTCCCTGGCATCACCTGTGGACTTTGGCTCAGCCCTGCGGTAAAACAGGCTCCACTCACCTGCCCGGAAACGCAGAACGGCCCGGCAGGCACACGGCACCGGCGTCCCCAGGCCAGGCAGCGCCAGCCCCGAGCGGGAACAGGAGCACCAAGGGGCTGGGCAAGGGTAAGTGGGACCCCCCAGCACCTGCAGCTGGGGTGAGCCGGGGCCAGGCACCAGCACCGTGCTTGGGCAGCAGCAGGGCCGGGAGGGGCTTCCTGGCAGGAGCGGGCTCCAGTGCAGGGCAGAGGGGGTGAGGACAGGGACCTCCTGCCCAGCCACCGGCACAGGGAAGGGCTGAACATCCCAGCACAGCATCACCTGCTCAGCTGTGATGCCCCATGCCAGGAGGGAGGGTGGCTCTGGGCACTGACAATGCTGCCCACTCCGCTGGGATCCAGCAGCTGTGGCCATGGGCACCAAGGGCACCACGGTCACTGTGCCACTCTCCTGCTCTTGTCCTGGCAGGTGTCTGAGGTTTCCAGACCAGGTTTCCCAAGTGCAGGGCTCGTGTCCAGAGGGAAGGAGAGAGCTGCTCTGCTGCAAGGGGCTGGGGCTGGCAGTGCCGGGGCTGGCAGTGCCGGGGCTGCCGCGGCGCCAAGAGCACCCGCCTGCACAAACACGGGGTTATCGGTGACCGCAGGGGAGGCCCCGCGGTGGGACAGGAGAGCCCAGGCTGCTCCCGGCGTGGCTGCTCCCGGCGTGGCTGCTCCCAGCATGTGCACTCAGGTCCCTCTGCTGCATCCCCCAGGGCTAATGGCTGCCCTGGGGCACACGGTGGGAGGAGAGCTGGACATCCAGGCCCTCCCTGCAGATTCAGGGCTTCTCAGTGCCATAGCTGTGTCCACGGAGAGGCAGGAAGCACCTGGAAGAAGGTCTGTGGGTGCATTGCCGCTGCATCTCTGCACTGGTGCATCAAGGCACAGGTGTGTTGGCACGTTGGTGCATTGGCACATGGGTCCACTGGTGCATCGGTGCATGCTGCAGATCAGAGCCAAGGGTAGCCTCCTGGGCATGGGACCAGCTGCAGTGGGGTAATGGAGGCACAGGGAGATCGGGGACAGAGCACTGAGCCCAACATGGTTCTTGGAATTCCCCCACAGACTCGTGCTGAGCTTATCAGGGCCCCGCAGCCACGCCACCCATGGCCCCCCCGTCCCCCACTGCTGCCACCCTGGCCACTCCCCAGCAGACACGGCTCAGCTGGGTGCCCTGTGTGGC